CGTTAATTTTCATGTAGCTATGGATTAACAATAAATTATAAGAAAATTCAATTAGGTAGGAGCTATTTAGCTATTGATTGACTAAGGATTATCTGCAAATTTTGTAGCTAATTTTATGTTTTCTAGTAGTTATAATAATCACTATATAATAAGTGACTTAATTGTGTAAATATATATGTAATTGTAACTAAAATTATCTTACTTTATATACGTACAACAACTTTACATACATTTGTTATTAATTAATGATACAATGAATATCGCATGCGGTGGTATTATTATTTCCTTCCTACCTATAACTTTTATTATTTGAAAAGTTACTTCTTTAATTACTTTCACCTTTTTTTTGTCGTACATCAATTTAATGGAAAAAGTTGTTTTTGGAAGTACGTATTCCTGTGGACAAAAATATTTCATACTCCCCCGTTTCACAAAGAATGACATGATTTGACTTGGCACGGAGTTTAAGAATATAAAGAAGATTTTTGAATCTTGTGGTCCTAAATTAAAGTTATGTCAAAGTTGTCCTTTAATCTTGTGGCCTTAAACATGTCACGTGGAAAGCTGAAATTAAAATGTTACCAAAAAAAAAAAAAGGTCATTCTTTTTTAAACAGTCTAAAAAGGAAAGGAGGGAGTAATACATTTGCGTGTATTTTTTTAAACTTGCAATCTTAGATATGTCATCGATATTTCATTTTTCACTTAGCCATGTATTATGGATAGAGTATATATTATGGCAGTAGCAAAAGTCAGAAATTTTATTAAGAGTATTCAAAAATAATAGTATGTGGTTGTCAAAATAAAACAAAAAAATATTGTGTTTGAGGTTTAAACCTGAAACTCCTTGGACACCCCCTATCAGTCCATCACTATGCCAAAAGTATAGCTTTTCATTGCTATCCAATTTTTAATATATATTTTTATTTGACATAGAGATATATGTAACGTAATTTTCTGACGAAAGATCTCCGGTTGGAGACCCTTAATTGGATGGCTATAGCTATGTCCGTGCTTAGAGTTTATGGTATCGTTTTTAAAAATATTTGGAAAACATTTTCTCAGACTCGTCCTAGCGTGGACGAAACGGTAGATGGGAGGGAGGAGGGGGCGAATTCATCAGTAGGAGAAAGGTTGAAAGAGGGAGCAGCAAAAGCAGTGGAGACGGGGCTAAATGTGGGGGAAAAGGCGAAAGAGAGCATGGATGAGGCGTGGGATGCAGCTAAAGAAACAACAAAGAACGTCAAGGATGCATTAGTTGATGACGCTAATGATGAAATGAAAAAGGGCTATGAATATCCATCTACTCATAAAGATAAACATACACAAAACTTGAGGAAACGTGCTGATGGTTATGATTTGAGTGATCGTCATTAGGACTTTTTACCTGTACTTGGCACGCTTCTTAAAAAATAATAATCATCAGTATGAAAGAAAATGTTTTATTATATAGCTTTAGATTTTGAGACGTGATTTGATTAATAAGTACTTTGTTCGTTTAAAAAATAATGACCTAATTTCCTTTATAGTTTCTTTCAAAAAGAATGATCCTTTTCATTTCAATTTCAATTTTTCATGTGGCATGTTTAAGGCCACAAGATTAAAGGACATTTTGGTACATTTGACATAATTTTAATTTAGAACCACAAGACTAAAACGTTTTTTTTCTTTTCTTAAATTTTGTTTCAAGCCAAACTAGGTTATTCTTTTTGAAACGGAGGGAGTAATTAATACTCCTATCTGAAAGTAAAATAGAAATTTGTTTTTTTTTTTATGTTAAAAAGTAATTTGAAATATTGGAAGAAGGGAGTAGCAGGTAACTTTTACTTTCGGAGTTTCAAGCGTAAGCTAAAAATAATTAGATGCATGGTTCTAGTCGTTTGAAGTTCGTTATTTTAAATGTGTCATAATATTTGTGTTTTTACATTTTTAGTAAAGATATGGATTAATGAAGAAAGATTTCATGTTTAAAGCTTATTGGATTTATAAATTATTAGGTGATCTTTTTTAATTATGATGGATAAAATTGTTCAGTTCATGTGTTTTTTTCTTCCTAAGAGTTTTTTTATTACTTTTGGTCTCTTGGCGATTTGAGTTGCAACTTTTAAGTCGAAGGTGAAAGATAATTATTTTGAGCAATTGGTTATCAAACATAAAGTAATAATAAGAATAATAATAATTTTAAAAAATAGAAGTGTAATTTCTTATTGGACAACAATGCCCCTATGTAGATCGTGTATTAATAGTTTCCTAACAAAATGAGGGAGGTTAGGTTGGTCATCACGATTAATAGACAAAAGAATAGGAAGGCTAACACTCATATTATTTAATTTGATATCTTTAATTGGTCCTTTGTATTGAAGTGATCCTTTAATATATAGTATGGTCCATATATTTTGTCATAAAGTAATTTAAATAGTGGTGTAAATTAGGCACTTGGTTGGTTCATTTCTTTTTCCATAATAATATAACGTGTTTGAAACTTTTTTTCTTTTTTAACTATGAAAAGTAACCCCTGTAATAATGAGTGTAACAAGTTATCTGAAAAGCTAAATCTGATTAGAAGCGTCACCTCCAAATGGGTTTGGTAGTATGTAATTTGAATTTAATTAAAAAATTTAATACAGATTTTGAATACTGGTGAAAAATCAAACAAGATTATCTAAAAAGCTAAAACAAGTACTATACTTGTATGATTAGCAAGAGTCTGGTTGTAATATCCTTGTATGATTAGCAAGAGTCGGGTTGAAATTAGAGGTGATAAAATTAGCTCATAATTAACCGAACATGTTAAAATTTGGGCTTACGTTATTGATCTAGTCATTTATTAGTTTAACTTAAGTCAGCTCAATCAATTACACAAAACAGTAAAAATTGGATTGATAGATAGTTTAAATTGATTAATGAAATATTCATCAAAATATTATCAGGTTTTTGCGCAAATTTCTTTCTTTCAGGGTGGTTTTTAATATTGCTTTCGAATAAAATACTCTAATTTTTGCTTTTGTCGCTCGTTTCATGAAAATTTGTGGATCAAAGTATTTGTATTTTAAGCTAATTTGCAAGGCACGAGCTTAGAGAGTTTTTGCCTTATCCAACATAAATTGTATAATATTATGACTTAATTCGCTCGACATAAACTTAAAATTTATTGTCTCGCTCGACATAAGCTTAAAATTTATTGTCTTGCTCGACATAAGTTTAATAGAAAATTAATTTATATCTTTCATTAACTTGTGGGTATAAGATGTTATACCATGAAAATGTAAATTTATTTACTGCAAATGATTATTTGTTATTTCATTGCATATCATGAGTATATTCGATCACTTTTTTTTCTTACTTAAAGTGTTAAAAAGGACTAAAATTAAACATTATCCCAAATTAGGAACATTTATGCGAATGCCCCAAATATTATCAAAAGCATATTTTTTTAATTTGATATATTAATAAAGAAAAATAAAAATTTTATTAGATATTAAAAATTATTTTAAAAAATTAATTAATTAATTAAAACTTAATCAGACAATTCATTTCAACCCAAATAAATCACTTCAACACAATTCATTTCAGTCTCATTTTTCATCCTCGGTTGAATTTATTAACTCAATTTATTTTGTTCAAACAAATTCAAATCAATCTAGACCAAATAATTACAATTGATTAATAATTCATATATTTATCAACTCAATTTAGCTTGTTCCGATTAATTTCAAACTAATCCGCCCATTTAACACCTGATAAAATAACATGGTCCATTAAATGATTTTTTCTTTTATCTTCCTCCAACTTTGGAACCCTCTTTGCTACTCTACTTCAATCATTCACTCTATGTGCTTTACGTGTTGGATTGTAGTAACTTTACCCCACCTAATAACTAATGCTTACTAGGATTCACCTAAAACACAACGACTTTTATGATAAAAAAAAATTTGACAATAAAATGTGAATATTACCATACCAAGTCAAAGTAGTACAGATTAGGGATTATGATAAAATATTATCAGCATTATATTACACACATAGAATAAAGGGAAAAAAATAAATATACCCTTAAACTATCGTAAATGGTACGCAGATATCATATGCCGTACTTTTGGGACATTAGTGCCCTTGTCGTCCAAAAACTAGAGCATATATATCCTTCACTCTAACGGAAGACTAAATAGGGACTCGTGGCACAGTTTTATTCGTCGACTCGATATATATCGGGTCAGCGGATAGATTATGACACATGTATGTCCGTTAGTATAAAGGATATACATGCTCTAGTTTTTGGACGGCAGCGGCAACAATGTCCCAAAAATAAATATGACGGAGGGTATCTGCATATCATTTATGATAGTTCGGAAAATATATTTGTCCTTTTACCCTAAAATAAATATAGTAATATAATATGATGAGGGCTCGATTCCCACCGTTGTAATCCTCTACCTATTTCCCCTTTCCTTTATTTTATTCAATTGTACATGACTTCGAAATATAACATTTAAAATTTGTAAATAAAATAAAACATAGAGGATTTTTATACAAGTATTATTTTTTAAATTAAATTATAAGTGGATATAAGAGATAATTTATTTCGTATATAAGGGATCATTTCCTCTGTTGAGATTACTTTTAGGGATAAATAATTTTTGAATGTGCACAAATAGACACTTAAACGTGTATAACGTTGAACAAGTAGACACATGCATGAAATACACTCAAACTGATTTGAATTATGTCATGTAGGAGACGTGTGTCTATTTGTGCACACTCAATGTTGGAGGCATAAATATAAGTTGAGGTCAAGTTGAAGGACACGTTCATATATTATAGGAGTAGTAAATGGTAAGGTAAATTCCCTGGTTGTGATTGTATATGTGGTCCTCACAAGCTTTATTCACCTTTTGTCCTAGCATGCCTAACCTAGGCAACATTCATTATGTTACTACTCTTCAACAAAACTCCCATCTCTCCTCTTGGAATCTTCATATTCAATAATTAAAAAAAAAATATATGGCAAACAATGATGGTGATGGAGGGGTGGGGGTGGGGGTGGTGGTGCAAGTGAAGCACTATTGTCAAGTGGAGAAATGTGAGGTTAATTTAGATGGTGCTAAGAAGTATCATAAAAGGCACAAAGTTTGTGAAGTTCATGCTAAGGCTCCTATTGTTTTGCTTGCTGGTTTAAGGCAGAGGTTTTGTCAACAATGCAGCAGGTACTCTTCTTCCAAACTACCTTATTATTTTAGGCTAATTTTGAGTGCATTTTGCTATATCCCTCATGCCAGTTTCATTGTAAAAACAAAATCTTTATGTATAAACAAATTGTTAATCCTCTTGATTTAAGAGAAACTTATGGTTCTTAAGTTGTATGGTAGTATAAGCTATTACCTTCCCATGTTGCATTAAGACAGAGATCAATTTCCGAAGCATCACAATATTAAACCCTTCGGTTCCTTTTGGTATATCGATGTAGAAGCTAATCTCTTATTCAACTCTTGAAAACTCTTCTCACATGAGTCTTGATCATTTAAACGTGGTCTTTCTTTTGGGTAAATTTGGTCAACGGGGCAACAATCGAAGAAAAACACCCTACAAATCTTCTGTAATACCTAGCCAAACCCAAGAAACTATGAATCTATCTCCAGTGGAGTTGTGGATCTAGCTCAATTCTTAACAGCTTCAATCTTTTGGAAATCTACCTTAATACCTTCGCTAGAAACTACAAGCGTCCCTTTAGGTCACAGGTTGAAATCCTAGGTTAGCTTTCTTATATTCTTCCAAATCGCGTTGTTAAAATTCCTGATTCCGCTACATCTAATAGGCAGCAGGCTTTTAACTTAGTACTCTCAATCCTTAAAAAGGCCATCATAGTCGTGCATTTCCTTTTTCCGCTTTAATCTTCTCGTTGCATCAATAAAATTAGAAGTTCATTTTTCAAACTGTTCCTTAACAAGTAATTATTATCTCAAAAAAGTCAAAAAAAAAATGTGACTTTCTGATGTAATAACTATTTGTTGAGTGATCATTTAAGAAATCAAACTCGAAATTAGCCGATCTTGAGAATTTATAAGAGTTTTTCTCCATGAAGGATTTTTATCTCAAAAGACTATTTATACTTGTCTAGCATACCAAACGACCTCGACATTTTAATACGTGATATATACCTCTCATTCAGGTTCCATGAGCTCTCAGAATTTGATGGCACTAAAAAGAGCTGTCGCCTGCGCTTAGACGGACACAACAAGCGGCGTCGCAAAACACCGCTGCCAATTGAGATGGAAGATAACCACTACAGGTTGATCAATGGGGAAGCCAGCCCACATATGGACATGACTTTTTCCAGCACGAAAACCATCCACAACCACACTGCTGACATCTCTGGATGAAATGCTTACTCTCTTCTGTCAGCCCCCCCGGGGCATCGTGTTATCCCTCTATGTTGCTAATCTATAGTTAAGACCTATCGTTCGATGCTTGTAATGAAAGCAAAACTCAAATAATGTTGTAGTGGTTATCCTAGCAAACAACATTTCGTTTATTTGAAGTTTGTGTGCAAACAGGTCCAGATGTTGGAACTTAAACGTTTATGCAGTAACATGACAATTGACAAAAGCAAGAAATAGTTCAGATTTTACATTTTAAACAAACTCTACGCACACGTTAACATCATCTACCAAGTGCACAGAGAGAAGATTATTGGAACCTTACGACTACGCAGGATATATCATCGGTACTTCCTCTTGCAAGAGCATGTTCATTGAGATGCTTAGCAGCTGACCGCGCATCCTTAATATCTTTAATGCAATCTGCAGCTTCCTGATTTGACAGTACCTGGTATTTTACGCGAAAAATTGCACAAATGTTACACTAGCAACTATGACATGCATACAAGAATATTCGACAAACGATTACAACGTGATCCAAATATTCAACGCTCTGGAAATGTAAGTAGCTAACCTTCCATACGCCGTCACTAGCCAAAATGAGAAACTCTGTATCATCATCTATGAGCTCTACCACTACATCTGGCTCTGAACTTAGATGCATCTTCAAGCTCTTGTCGCCAAATGCTCTTGCTACTGCTAACTGCCCATCAACCCGAGGAACATCACCTGAAGAGAGGAGAAAAAAAGGAATTTTGTTTTAAACAGAAAATACAAAACTCAAGCACAATAGAATAGAACGAAGACATCGCCCAGAACGACATATTCGCAAACAGCCATAGTTTATCAGAAAGGTTCCACATACTAATTTCCAATGGACATAAGCAAAAACTTCTTGGTTTTGGCGAAGGGGGTATCAACTCTGTATTTGCAAACCTACTACCCCTTTAACTCCTCTAAAACGACACTGTTAATAGGGTCGAAGCAACATTCGGATTTGAACACCAACTTAATGTCGATAAGAAATTGGATTCAAAAGCAAATTTCCACATGTGATCAAGGAAGTTCATAAATACAAACCTTCGCATATAAGTACGTAAATTAGATCTAGTAAAGGAAATTCATTTGAACGCTAAGGCTGGTTCCTTCCTATCATTGATGCATAAATGAAGATACCATTTGGTAGTGACTGATTTCTTCTATGATTTCTTCGGACTCTATAGTAAAATTGCAAATTATAGTTTCGCACCTGGAAAATTGGACACGAAACCACCTTTGCCCTCGATGATCTCCCTCTCTCTGCCAGGCTCATGATCAATGGACAGCTGCTTGGCTACTCCATTTTTGTAAATGACGGCACGAGAATCTCCGACATTGGCTACAACTAGTTTCTGACCATTAATCAATATGGCTGTAACAGCAGTGGATCCTCCTTTCCCCAAATCAGCAGCCTTATCCAAAATAGTTGTATCTGTTATGCGGTAGGCTTTCCTGATTGCAGACTCCGGTTCAGCCCAGAAGTTAGGCTACATAACGAAACAGAAAATGTGACGAAAGTTCATGGAATTCAAGCAAAGAGTCACGAGACTGAACGCACAACAACCGGCACTAATTGAAGACTGAACTAGCTCTATACAATACATGTCAAGCATTCAATAGTAACACGAACGCATTACCTCGTTCAGGATATTATTGAATAGGTGAGAGCGGAGGTACTCAGGAATCTCGTGGCTTAAATGGCCATCAAATATTGCAAATAGACCAAGTTCATTTTCGTCAACTTGCTTAAATTGTGCAAAAACATAGTCTTCCATCGTGTGATGCGATTTTCCCTCAACCATGTGATACCCATGGGTTATGTTCTTCGACATCTTACTCTTACCTCTTCCGGTATCAGATGAACTTAAACCAACCTTTTCCTGCAGAACAAAAGAACCTTGTCACAACACATGTATATAGTACTTGGAAAAAACTTCACCACCAGTGGCAAATTTTCCACATAAGCTGTGATACTACAACGACAACATATCAAGTATAATCCCACAACGTGGCAAAATTTCCACATAAGCTGAGATACTGAATAAGCAAACCACAATCGAACAATCATATATATGCGTAATGCTACTTAGATTAAAAGGAATAACAGCTTAAGATAAATAGCTTGATAAAAAAGGAATAAGTTCTTAATGCCAACTATTCAGTCCCCTTCTTTTACCAACAAAAACAATTGCTATGCCTCAATCTCAAACAAGTTGGGGCCGGCAATCTAAATCCCCACTTTTAACATTTAAACTCATTTTACATCATCAATGACGGAGCTAGAGGGGCGAAAGGGTAAAATTACATTGTATATATAAAGTCAGTGTTCTTATTTATGAATATATAGTAGATGATGAACCGTATTGCACGAAAATCTTGTCTCTGCCATTGAAAATCATAATCAACCTAGATAAAATCGGATCTTTTTTCATCATTAGAAAATTTATGCCTACTATGTCTAAGCAATGGGCATAAACTTATTTTTCCTGAACAAATTAACACCACAAACATCTACTCTATACTAGGACTTCAATTTTTAAAAATTTAAGAGGCAAATTGTGACACTTAGTAGCAAACTAGTTCATCAGCTAAGCTTATTTGATATGAAATAACTGCAATAGGTTGATTACGTAGATTTATCGGAAACAGTCTCAGGTAAAGGTAAAGTCTATATACATTCTAACCTTCGGTACAATTATTACATTGGATATGTTGTTTGATGTTAACAACTAACTTTGTGGGACAACACTAATCATCATATAATCAAACATATATTGTAACAACAAATAGAAGGCTAATTGAACAAGTTATTTTCAAGGGAAAGCAATAATAAACGTAAATTATTATTTTTATAAAATAAAATTAGTAAGTTAGATGGATTTTACACCAAGCTAACAAATAACCAAATTCAATTATTTTTTCTGCAGTATCAAAACCAAAACTCAGAGAGATTTCTAATTACGTGCAAAATAAGCTGAATTATTTACAATTAATTAAGATCCACGAGTTATATCGATAGATCAAGGTAGATTAATTATGTTTAGGACAGGGTGATTAGCAATTTTAATTATATATAGGTACCTTAATTTTGTCGATGATTTCTTTGCCTCCAGTCATGATGCAAAGTTAAATAAAATGGAAGAAAACAAATCAAAAAAAAAATGTAGAAGAAGATTAGAAGAGAAAATTGCAGAAGGAAAGTGACAAGTGTTGAGGAAAAGAGATGACAATGTTCCTATGATTGACACGTCTCTTACTGTCTACGTTTTGTTTGGACGTCAAATAGGCGGATTGGATTGAACTAGAATAGATTAAAACGGTCTAATGAATGAGCAGGTTATTGAATCGTTTAAAAAATATATTAAATTAAAATGTCTTTATATAATAAAATAAGCAAATACTCCACAAATTAAATTTAAAGTGAAACAAATTACAAGGTGAAAAATTAAATCATAATCAATAAATTAAAAGTTGAAAGTTCAAATCGTAAATTTAAATCAGCTAACTTACTAAGATTTTTTCTAACCATTTTCTAATTAGCTTTATGTGTACGCAAGGAAAAAGGAATATATTCATCTATTTTTGGCTGCAACTTTTGTATCGGGAATCGGGATAGTTAGTTGTGAAATTAAGTATTTTATACCATAGTCTTGATATTATTTTATTCTATATTCACTATTGACACTGATATCAAGATTAGCTAGTCACCACCTTGATATGTAAAACAATTAAATGGCAAAGATATTTTCTTCTAATAGCTTGTTTCGATTGTTGTTACGTATATCATATTGTAGTGTATTAGTTTGATGAATATAATATTTAGCTAGATAGTATTATGTAAGTTTTTATCATTTTCAATATCAAGCATTCATAATTTATAGGTAACATTATACATGGGTCATGTTTCAAGTATTTGGGGTTAGTAATTTAAGATAATAGGTAGATTGATGAAGATGTCACATGTCGTACTGCTACAGAGGTGAACAAAATAGAGGCTTGCATCCGATATTCTATATGATAAGAATGTGTCGTCAAGATCTAACGGTAAACTTTACAAGGTGAACGTTATACCGCCTATGTTATGTGCGGTGGAGTGTTGGTCAATCAAGAACTCTCATTTTTAGACGATCACTAGAGTAGTACATATGAGGATACTTAGACGGATCTAGAAGCATACCAAGAGATAGAAAATTAGAAATGAAGATATTCATGTCACGTTGAGAATTGACGCATGGAGGATATAAGATGCCAAAAGTGAGGTTGGAGTAATTCGTACTTGTGAAGAGGAAATATTGGGATGTCTCGATAAGAAGAGTGTGAGAGGTTGGTCGTGATATGCTTGTACCTCTTTTTAGTGGGCTCCAAACCAGGTCAAAGGTAGTAAGTACTAACTTGACCCAATTCCTTCAAAAGTAGCCGTACCACTCTAAGAGGCCCAGATCCAAATCGTATTAAATATTTAGAGGCCCAAACTAAATTATTCGACAAAGTTGCACTTTGGTGGTCCCAAAAGATGGACTAATTTACTCAAACACCCTTCTTTTAAGGCTATTATTTAAATATTATCTCTATTTAAAAAATAGCGCATATATAGCTCTCCTGACAAACAAAACATTAGAGTGTCATTTAAACTACACAAAAATTTAAATTATATGATCTAACGATTTCTCATAAGATTCATCAATTACAAGTAAAATAAAAAGACGATCATTTACTAAAAATCCATCCCGAAGAGGGACCCCCCAATTTCTCGAAACTTATATATATATATATTATATATATAAAATTAGCTTTGGAATAAAAAGTATATAAAATATGGTCATTCCATGAACCTTTGTTTAAGTGGGCTCCAATCCAAGTCAAAGGTAGAAATAACTGACCCAATTTCCTCCAAAAGTAGCCGTACAATGAAGACTGAAGCACACTTAAAGGCCCATATCCAAATCGTATAAAATAATTAGAGGCCCAAACTAAATTACTGGACAAAGTGGAACTATGGTGGACCCAAAAGAAGTCGTTAGGCAGAAATGGGGCCCAAATGGGTCATCCAAAAGAAAAAGTTTTAAAAAGTTATGGATATATACCGTGCGATCAACTAGTTTACCAACATGGTCAAAATATACACAACTTATTCATTAATAGGCATGTATATTATGTATGTAGTTTATGTATATTTAGTATAAATTATACACAATAACAATATATACATTTCGTACATGTTTTATAAACTAGCTGGTTTAAGTGTATAGAGTCGTAATTATCCCCAAAAATACTTGTTATCCCTTAACTTTTGTACTTTTTAGTCCGTGATCTAAAAGTTCATTCTGAACAAACTTAAAATCTTAAATGAAAATGTTAAATTACGGTCTAAAATTTTGTATAGTCAAATGTTGGTCAATCTCAAAAAATTATATTTGCACAAACTTTTTGAAAATAGAAATAAAATCTAAATGATGACTTAAAAGAAAACACAAGTGGGAGACACTGAAATTTCAAAGAACTTTTATTGTCTCTTGGATTTGGATTTATTAATGCCCTATAGATCCAAGTGGAAGTCCTCAATATTTGCTTTTTTGCTTCATTAATCAAAGAGACCAATGTTGAACCTCATCATTGTATTTGTCTTGGGATTCAAAGACATCCCTAATATGTTATCGCTTGAGTTTTTTGGGTCCCCCTCTTTGTTTTTTTGTTTTTTTTACTCTCTCTTTGATATATATATACTTTGCTTAAAATCTTCTTTTACTTTACATGAAAGTGTTCTCCTAGAGTTAGTCTCTTCATCTTTCAGGTATAAAGCAACAAAAGCAAATAATATAAAGTAGGTCTATCAACCATAGAGTGAGAGGGTATTCTTTTGGGTTGAATTGTAATAGAATTTATCTTCGTGCATTTTGATTAATTTTAAAGCTAATTATTCTTTCATTAGTATAGATATAGATAACTTTGTACATTAGGGCTTAGATAAATAAGGAGATATTACATATAGTTTTCGATGAATTTGAACGAAAACCTGATGACTTCCAGCGTACTTTATTGACTAGTAGATCGTATCCTTAGGTGATCAGCGAGATAGTATTCTTGTGAGGAAGAAAATTTCAGTTTACTTAGAATATAACTAAAAGTAATTATCGATAATAAGTAGAATTAATAACTCAAAAGACATGGCAAACAACGTGTTATAACATGTTAAATTGCACTAATAGTACGTAAACTTCATACAAGTCCATACATAGAAGTTTAAATCTACTAAGTTATTAATATATATTAAATCCCCCCATAAGTAATGTACCATGTTTTCCAATTTCTTATTATTGATCCAAACCCTTTTAACCTTGAAATGCTACAGCATGATCCTACTTCTTCTTCATATTTAGTACTCCGTTCATCTTAAATTATCTGTCGTAATTCTTTTTTTACGTGCCTCTTAAGAAACAATAATAAGAAGGGTTGTTTAACTATTTTATTCTTTATTACTATTTAAACATTCGTAACATCACACATAACTAAGTGTTTATAGTCTTCAAGAATAATAATTAATTTTTTTCTTCAATTTCTAAAACGACAAATAATTTGAGACGGAGGGTATGAAAAGGAATATAATTATATTTCACTGTTAAAATCTTGAGAAATCGAAGTTCTTAAATCCTCTAGTTGCAATAGAGCAAGTAATAAATCTCAATCTCTTCTCATTGACTTTTAAGCCAACGGGTCACTAATCTTGATTATGATGATCTGTATCAAATTAATAATAGCAGTAAACTAGTTATTATTATATAATATACACTACATATCAACATAATTTCATACACTAATATTCAGTAAATCTACACGCTTCCAATATGATTACTTATCCATATAGACTAACTAAATTAATCAAATCTATAGTTGGCAACTTAAAGTATTGTTTTAAAAAAAATATCACATGATTTTTAGTCATTTAGACCACTAATCTTTATTAGCAATTCCCAAACAAGGGGTCCATTTATCCCCTCTTTAGGGGGAAAAAGCCAACTCTTTATACATTTTTCATATCAACAAATAATTTCGTGATCGAGTATAAAAAACGTTTATAATATGATCAATTGTATCGATTGAGTTACAAATTCTCCGATTTATCTCTATTTACAACGAAAATAGTTGTAAATCTGATGGAAAATCGTGGTAGAAAGAGCAATTCAGGTGACAGATTTTCATTTCCAATAATTATGCCGGTTCAGGAAGGAGAAGAAATGGAATTTGAATTTTCCGGTAGTGTTTCGCCGGGATCTCCGAAATCTCCGGCGGATCATTTGTTCTTCAATGGACGGTTATTGCCGCATTATTTCCCCTGTCAACCGGTAAGTAATATCAATAGTCCGATTTCATTTTCGCGATCAACGAGCAGAACAAGTAATGCTAGTAGCAGAGATTCGCTCTGGTCCTCGCGCAGCAACAGCACGAATAGTCGTAGCAGTTGCAGCAGTAGCGCGAGGACCAGCACGAGCGAATCTTCTGAAAGGAAATTGATAAATCAAGGGAAGAATTCAGCGTTTGCTATGTATAGAAATTCGTCAAATAATATGAATTTTTCGACTACTCTGCATACTGGAGTTTCGCCAAAATGGCAGTTTATTGTGACACCAGCACCAGTAATGAAGAAAAAACACCAATTTTCAGCTCCAGTTATGAAGAAAAAAGGGCAATTTGTTTCGAAATCTCAGAAACAGAGTGCGAAAGGAGGCAAAGAGTTGAAGTCGAGGAAACAGATGAAGGAAAATGGTAAAAGAAAAGTGAGATTTTGGCTTTTGCGTAGAGTTTTCAGGAAGTTTATGTCAACTTGCAGAGAATGTCACGCTATGGAACCAACAAGAAGAGCGAGGATTTCTCGTCGTTGAAAGGCTATGTTGCTCGGATTTTTCCAAAATATCGATGGCAATAGGTACATGTCAGATATTTCAAAAATAGTACATTTTAGAGAATCGAATACGAGCAACATAGGTTGAAAGATTGACATTACTAATTGATTGGCATGTGTGGTGATGATTGACTAAATTTTTAACTTTGGTAATTATTGATTTATGATTTTGGGAGATAATATTTTTCTGAAGTCATGTAAGTGATTAAGCTTTGATTTGTGCAAGGTTTGTGATAAACCTTCTATGTCAAATAGATTTTGATCATGTTTTGTTTCCTAATCTCTTTACTTGCTTTTTATAATCACCTTGTATACGTACTCACTGGCCAAGTTAATCCAAATTCACGTTTTGCAAGGTTGATTGAAAGGGTAGAGATTGTATATCATATCAAACAAATGAATGCAATATACCTATTAATTTTTGTTACAAGAAAGTCCGTCCAAGCATTGTTTTTTTATTAAGTACCAATTAAAGATAGTCTTTCCCTAATTCCATCCAAGCATTGGATTTTTTTCATGTTGTCAAAGATTTTAATAATAAAATAAAGTTGTGATCAAATGCCTGATTGAATTGATCAGGTCATGTAAGAACAAGGTTTAAGTCTATCAATCTATAAGGAATACTCATCTGCATATATTAATAATGTAATTCCATTTGACATTATCATAATGATAAACAATTTGTCTATGACAATATTCTATTGATTTCTCAAAGAACTTACTTGGACAGAAAGTTCATCGCTGGGGATCGATAGGAGATATAGTCTAGTATTCTCACTTTTAACTTAAGACATTATCCTTACCTGACGAGCAAAGTTTTTCACTGTTTTTATAACAATCCCATTTGTATGAATATTTTTTAATTGATATTATTATAAAAAAACACATAACATATAAGATAAGATGAAAGTTAGTTTCCAATAAAACTTGATTATTATGTGAAATGTTAGTTTTAAGAAAGTCTGTCCGGATATAGCGATCAAAATTTAAATAAAACGAAAAGTAACCTTTAAAAATTATACATGATAAACTCTCTTGATACTGACTTGGACATAATAAATAAATATGAAATGATTTATATAAGTCATCTCTAACTAATTTTAAATTTAAACATACGTGACGCTATTTTGTTTATATTTTTGAGATTTTGAGTTCGGTTAATAAAGAGTGATTTTCCAAGAATCCAAAAATAATTTAATTTGAATTTCTTATTTTTACAAGTGAGGCTTAGTCAAGTGATTGATAACCTCCATCAATGATCGATAGGTTCAGAATTCGAGTCATGCTGGAGGGAATGTGAGAACACTATTGATCCTATGAAGAAAAAAAAACTTCTCATTTTATCCTTGATGATAAATTTTTATAATTAAACAAATATTATATAGCATATCTAATAAAATTATAAGTTTAAAAATCTTATAACTATATTTTTTTTAGAAAAAATGGTAGAGAATATTACAAAATGGAAAATCAACCTCTCATCAATAAAGGAAAAATTTAGTTAATCAATCAAATGAGCTAGTAAGATTCCCTTATAACAACATAAATATTACTATGATGTATCTAATATCATAAAAAATGAATTTATTTTTTTACATAAATTTCACGTCTAATTATATAAATAAATTGATAGGGCGAGTTCTTGTTTTAATACTATTATTCCGCTCTTAACCAGATGTCTCAATGTTGAGCTTTGAATATAGAAAAGAAATCCTTCATACCAAACAACAACAACAACAACATACCCAGTGAAATCTCACTAAGTGGGGTCTGGAAATCCTTCATACCAAACGCTTCTCCCAAATTGGCTCTATATATACCGTGTAAATTTTAATTAATCGAACTTTAATATAGATACGGACTATCAAATTAAAACCTAGCCAAAGAAAAAAGTTGCTATCTTTGGATTCTAGTAGTTCGTCCTGTGTGTCAAGGCAAAAATTAAGGAATAAAGAAGCTTCAACATCATTTCACGACCAAAAGCTACTCTAGTTTCATCTTCCCGCCTCTCAAAATATGCCCCATGACAAGACACCAAGTGCCAACTCTTCTCAAACAGTACAAAGAAAAAAAAATAAAAAAGACGTCAATTTTTTATTTTTTTGTAATGTTTTTTTCTAATGTCCGGTATCTATTATGGGTAAAGACTGATTCAGAATTTTAAAGTTTATGATTCTGAAATTTATAATATATATGTATTTGATAAATTTTTCAATAATTATATATAGTTTGTATGAGTTCAATAGAATTCTTACCTTTCAAGCTAGCTCTACATGACTAGGTTCGAATAAAAGTGATGGATGATTACACATCTTTTACTTTCGAATATACATTTTTTTTTCACTTTTTTATAAATTCCTAATGATTTTGTTGAAATATCGTACAAATGGGTCCTCCACTCAAAACATCAACGAGAGGAAAAGGTAGGATCAATTGTTATTCGTTTTATCAAAGAGGCCTCGGCTTTACGAGGAGAAAATTTAAATTTATCAAATTTCAATATATATATCAAACATCGTATTGAGAAAATAAAAAAAATAAAGAGAGAGACCAAGCAGTAATGTTCTTGTAGATACAGTATTTACGTAAGAGTACTATTTTAGATTTATCTTAGAACGTAAAGTTATAACTAAAAAATATTTTGAATATTTGGGCTCCTTTATTGTGTAATGTCAACTCACCAAATGTCAATAGGAGTTGATCTATTATTTGTCATCATACCCTATTTTTCAAATGTTGACCCACATATGTAGTGGTTATACTAAGCTCACACAAAACAATCCTCAACTTTGACCCTGTAATTACTCCCACCGTCCTAATTTAAACGTCTTACTTTTTCTAACATTTTACGTAGCAAATTTAAGACCACAATGTTTAAAAATCTCCCTTTATTTCTTAAATTTCCTGTACAGTCAAACTAACACACTTAAATTGAGACGCCTTAAAATTTTTATATTGCTCGAATTCTTTTTAAGAAACCATTAATTAAAACCATGTTAAATCCTCCAGAAATACATGACATTTTAATGATGCGATACAAGCGCAACGACATTTTTAAGGATCCAGACAACACTACACTAATTTTAAATCTACTAGACATCCATATTCTTCCTACAAGAAAATCATGGAGAAGCATAAATTTTCCTTCATTTCGAGATGAACTGATAAAAAAGACTACAAGAAAAAGTGGAAACATTCAATGGTCCAAAGGATGAAGGAAAACCAAACTATTAAAAGAGCACTAAATTAAGCAGAAAACACAACTAAAAGCTTTTTCTTAAGTACAACTTCTCCCCACCATAACCCTAGAAAGATCATTCCAAGAATCTCTCCATCACATCAGGGTACATTCCTCCTTCATTCCTATATTCTCCAGGATTATTTGCGTGCTGATCAAGTGAAGTCGATGAATTAGAAGATGAAGCCATCCTAGCAGGAAGTGTATAGCTTCTCTTGAACTTGTCCATCTTCCGAACGCTCTCAGGGTGGCTATCCAGGCTCAAGAAATCGTTTGGATTAGCAGCTCCGTTGTTGTGCAAGCTAGAAGCATCTGAGTTCGGATTTGAAGTCTTCCCATCAAGACTAAGCGGGTGCTGATTATGATCCGATTTGGAACCTAAGCTATCAGGATTGAACAGGATCCTGGAATCATCATTTCTACCAGTGAGAGCACTAAAGAAAGTTAATCCATTAGGCCACTTGATATCACTCTCATGATCAGCAGCAGCTCCCATCATGTCTTCCATTCGTGGTTCGGATGAATGAGGAAGTTGAAGGAACATATGTGATTCATCTTTCGACTGTGGAATACCAAGTCTTGCGGAGTTTTGGAAGTTGGGAGAGGATAGTAGCGAAGATGCTGAAGGAATTGGCCTTGGTCCCCAGTTGAAAAGTGGAGGAGGAGCGCGAATTGGCATAGTCGGCTGCTTAAGAGGAATTGCAGATGAAGGTGAACTAGTCCTTGTTGAAGAAAATAGCTGTGACAAATAGAAACCAGATTGATAGCCTAGAGACTCGAACGTGTGCCTCATTCTTAACACGAAATGGAGGTCTTCCGGTATCTGAGAAGGATACAACATTCTTATCCAAATTAGATCAAAGTACTTAATTCATATTAAGTGACCAACTATGTTACTCGGACTAGTACCCATGTTAGATACTCCAAAAAATGCACTACTTTTGGAGGATCCGACACATACTGTTGGCATTTTAAAAAAATGTCTGGCCAACATAGGTGATCGATCAGTAATCACATGTCCTTAGAGATAAACAAAGATTATAGTAACAACGAAAATAAACAATAACTCTTTTTTAGGGAAAATGAGTCTTACAATCTTGCAGGATCCCAATTGCAGTAGGCCATGTCCAGCTTGAATCACAGCAATAGTCTGCAAGATAAAAACAGTACACTGTCACACACACGCACAAAGCTAAGCAAATAATGGCATACAAAGCAAGCCAAGAAATCTTCATATAGGCCAGCCTGGTGCACACTAACTTCCCACTATGCGCGGGGTCCGGGAAGGGCAAGAACCACAAAGGTGGATCCACAACTCGAACCCGACCCCGTGACCTCCTGGTCACATGGAGGCAACTTTACCAGTTACACCAAGACTCCATTTTGTAAATAAATAAGATAGAGAGGCAATTATTGTTCTAGAGTTGTGAATCTGACCTGAATCCCTGACTCAAACTGGTCAGTCCACTCAGGTGGGAGCTGCAGAAGTTAAATCATCATCAACCATACAATCTTTCTCAGACCAATAATTGGCAAATGAAAAAATCAGTTCCCTAAGATAACCAAACATAAATGCAAGTAAACATACAGCATCAAATGAACTCTGCCAGTAATTTGATATGTTTGGTTCACATTCAGTAGGCTCCTTGAAAACCCATTTATGACACTTATCAGAGGCAACTTTACCCATCAACCTGCAAAACCAAAACCCAACCAATCAAAATAGAAAAAATAGTCACAAA